TTGACTTCCCTGTCAAATATTAGATGACAGTATATACTAAAGTTTATTTCTGGGCTCCCAAGTCTCTTCTACTGGTCTCTTTGTCCATTTGTATGCCATTGCCATACTGTTTTGATTACTATAGTCTTGCAATATAATTTGCAATAAGGAAGTGAGATGTCTTTACTTTGTCTTTCACAAGATTCCTTTGGCTATTATAGCTCTTCTGAAGTTCCATAGAAATTTTAGGATTGCTATATAATTCATGCAACTCATGGTGTGGTTTTGTATTTTTTTTAAATATTTTGGTCTTCCACGAATATTGCAGATGTTCATTTTTGCCGGTGTGTGTTCTAATATTTTTATAGAAAAGTATCCTGTGCTTATTTATAAATGTTCATAATATATTGATTGGGATTGGCACTTTAACTATTAATGAGAAAATTTCTAAATCTTGCAATAAATGTTAAAAATTACTGTTAACTTATAATCACGGGCCTTAGTAAAAAAAATATTACTGAGTATTAAAAGGATTTTGAAAAAATAAACTAAATTTAAATTAGTACACAATTTTTAGTGGACTCATTTTTATTATGTTACTTGTACATTATGATAATTACGTGTCATTTATGCTTAATGGTATAAAAATAATTTTTCTGGTCTTGGGGAGTAAAGATACTCAGAAAAGTAACTTGGGAACACCTAAATAAATCCTATCTGGAAGACTGATTTAAAGAAACTCTTAGCCTAATGTTTCATGGGACATATTCAATTTTTAATATACCTGTCTGAAGTTTTGAATTCTTCACAATGTGCTCTCTAAATGAACAAAAATAACATATTTTTAAAATGGAGAAAGAACGTGTTCCATATGCCTGATTTTTAGATATTAACTGTAGTGATTGCTTCCTGGAGAGATTGTAAATAGACTCAAATTCCAGTGTGTGGCGGACTCTAGCCAGCACAGTTTGCCTGTTGTGGCTGATGATGAGAATAAATGCACAGGCGACAGCAATCCTGTGGAGAAAAAGGGAAAAGCACTGACACTCTCTCAAGGGGAGAGCCCTTGTGGATGCCTGAGCCACTCCCTCGAGAGGGGAGCACCTGGACCCTTGCCTAAACAGGCTTTTATTGTTTTCCTGGGGTATTATATCAGAGAAAGATTTATTATCTATTACATAGAATATTATTGTCTACATTTTAGGTACAATCAAGGAAATGAAAATAACATGCAGAGGGGAATGGTGATGAGCTGATCTCTGTCCTTGGGAGAACTCATACAGGCTTTGGAAGTTACCTTGAAGATAGACAATACACATTTGTTGTTTTAGACCAGGGTGATGGAGTTTTAGCAAGAGCAAACCATAACAATCTCTATGCATTTTCTAGGCCTGATTCCCATGGGAAAACTCTATTTGAAGGTCTGGCTCCTGCCCGCCACTTTGCTTCTGTAGGTTTTCCATACAGAGATGAGTCCCATTTACCAGACCAAAACAAACAGTTCCCTATACCAGTGGTCTATATCACAGTGTTAATGCTGTAGATTAAGGTGATATTATAAATTTACTTTGAACAGTATAGTAAGATAGCTTCCTGGAGTTGTTTGCAATTGATTTATCTTAGTTCTAAATATCTAAACTTAGTACTTCACTCAGAATTAAAATCTACTGATAGCTCCTCTCATGTATCTAACCTTATTTGGTCCCCCCCCCTCGTTTTTTAACAACTTGGGAATTAATGAGGCAAAAATATTTATTGATAAAATAAAGGGTTATTTTTAATACTTAGGGTTGGCAAAATAGATTCAGAGTAGATATTTCGGAAAATACTTGATCTTTGCATTATTAAAATGCTCATCCATGTTTACTTGCTCTTATTTTCTTGATGTCCCAGCACTTGAACCTAATGCATTCAAAGTACACAGGTTTTTTCTTCTCTCAGTTATTGATGATCACATTTTAATTTTCATGTCCTTGTCCTCTAAAGATAAAAATGTATGTCTGCATAATTAGATATTTTTAAATTCATGGTATCCTAAAACCTAGTTAAGAAAAATTACACTTTTGATTCAAAAAGAGAGAAGTACAAAGTTTTTTTTTTTTGCCACCGAAAGTAAAAATTCAAGGATATGATTCGTAAGTACATCATCCAATTCTTCTGTAGGATTATATTAACATGCTCTTATGATTGTGACTTGCTTTTGTCCAATTAGAACCAACATTTCTTAATGCCATTTAAAATTTTATTAGAAATGTCGTCTTTGCCCTTGGCTCTCCTGACACTGCCAGTCAAAATCCGCTCACCTTGTAGGCATATCTTATGAGCTTCTCAGATTTAGAACCATTTTTAATGAGTAAATTAAACAATTCTCTAACATGTTAATAGCTTTAATTTGCTTCTTGTCCTCAAGGTCTAAAGACTTGATTACTGTGTGGAGAATATGAAAATGAATGTTCTAAGTTGAAAGCTGTCAGAAATGGTCAGAGACAAAAATGCTGATGCACAAAACAATGAATGATGAATACAAGTCAATGACTTCTGGATTTGTTAACATTGTACATAAAATAACATAGTTTTACAGATTATAATAAGAAAATGTTTCAATGATGTGAAATGTGACATGACCCTAAATATAATCATTAAGAATTAAGACTATAGGTGTTGTAATCTTCCATGTACAGCAACTCTCAGGAAGAAAATTAAGGACTACCCACGAGGGAAAAGAGATAAGAATCTAAAGTAAATTAAAAGTGAGCCAGTTATATCAATGTAAAGTTTTATCGTTAGACCGAAATTTTAGCTCTTGCCTTGACTGCTGTGGCTCAATTGGTTGGCTATAATCTGCCAAGAGAAATGTTGCAGTTAGATTTTGGTCAGGGCACATGACTGGATGGCTGGTCCATCCCTGGTTGGGGTGTGTACAGAAGGCAACCAATTGATGTTTCTCTCTAAATTGATGTCTATCTCTCTCCCTCCCTCCCTTTCCCTTTCTGTAAAAAATAAGTAAATAAAATCTTATAAAAATTTATCTCTTATTGTTATTATTTCTTAAAATTGCATGAAAATGTGGGTTGGCATGATTTTTAAACAAGCTGTTGCAAAGAATGGAACATATTTAGGTTAGTGTTGTTGGCTTTTTTTTGCCATTGAATATGCATTTATGATTTAGCTGTATTTATATGTTAGACAAAAAGTTTGGGGTTGCTTTCATTGTGGGTTCCTTAATTCTCAGATTTATGTCTTAAAAATTAACCTTGATGACAGAACTGCAGCAGTCATAGATACAGATAAAATAAGGAATGCAGAATATAAAAACTACAGATATTCATTTTCTGAAGCTACTGGAAATAAAAACGAAGGAAACTAGTTTGAAAGAAAATATCAAAATGTATTAGTGATATTGTAATCAATAGTTCTTCATGATTTAGTACCAACTTATGGCCCTGACTAATTTATTTATCCAAATTAGTAGATGACCCCTCGTGTAAGCTTTCGGGATATATTCATCAACAAACAGACTCATGCCCCCGCCATCACAGCATTGACACCTAATAGGAAAAAAATATTTCTTTGTTCTCTTGTCCTGTAAAACTACTTGCAGTTCTTGAAATGTGACATTTGGTTTACACTTCTGTATATTTACAAGTGCTATCCTTATGTCTATGATGCATTTCTGCACACCATTATCTAAATAGTGAACTACCATTAATCTTTTTTCCTAGATTTATTGAGATACAATTGCCATATTACATTTGTAAGATTAAGTTGTGAAACATTGATTCAATAGACTTGTGTGTTGCAGTAAGAGTACCACTGGAGTGTTAGCTAACATCTCCATCATGCCACATAATTAGACTTTCCTTTTTGTGTTGAGAACACTTAAGATCTACTCTTAGCAACCTTCAAGTATATAGTATGCTACCTACTATTACAATACTGTTGTTAGATCTCCAGAACTTATTAATCTTATAACTGGAAGTTTGCACTCATTGATCAATATAACCATATTCCTTCCTCACTATAGCCTCTAGAAACTACCATTGGTTCTCTCTATATTTATGAGCTTTTATTCATTTGTAGAGAGGGGAAGGGAGGAAGAAAAAGAGGGAGAAACATCAAAGTGTGGTTGCCTCTAGTGCACCCCCAACTGGGCACCCCCAACTGGGCACTTGGCCCACAACCGAGGCATGTGCCTTGACTGGGGATCAAACTGGTGACCCTTTGGTTTGTGGGCTGGTGCTCAATCTACTGAGCCACACCAGCCAGGGTGAGCTTGTTGTTTTTTAGATTCCACATATAAGTGGGATTATACAATATTTGTCTTTATCTGTCTGACTTATTTCAGTTACCATAATGACTTTAAGGTCTGTTTATGGCATATAGATGGTGGGATTCAATTCTTTGTCATGGCTGAAAAATATTCCATCGGTCACATCTTTTTTTCCATTCATTTTTTGATGGACACTTAGATTGTTTCTGTGTCTTGGCTAAGGTGAATAGTGCCACATAAACATGGAAGCACAGATATCTCCATGATATCCCCTTCTCATTTCCTTTGCATATGCACCCAAAAATGGAATTGCCGGATCATATGGTAGTTCTGGTTTTAATTTTTTTGAGGAAACTCCCTAATGTTTTACACAATGACTCCCAATTTATATTCTCACAAACAGTGCACAGCATTCCTTTTTTTCTCCATATCCTTGCTAATAAGCGTTATCACTTTTCTCTTTGGTGATGGACATTCTGACAGGTGTAAGGTGACATATCATTGTGATTTTGATTTGTCTTGCTCTGATGATTAGTGATGACCAACAACTTTTCATGTTCATGGCCATTGGTATGTATTCTTCGGAAAAATATATATTCCTTTTTTTTGGTATTTTATTGTGCTTAGTTTTTGTTGTTCTTAGTGTTGTTATTGATTTGTATATATATTTCTCCCACTTTGTAGGTTGTGTTTTAATTGTGCTTATTGTTTCTCAGACCATGCAGAATCTTTTAGTTTGATGTAGTCTCATTTATTTTTGCTTTTCTTGTTTGTGTTCTGGGTCTCATCTTTTTTTTACAAACATTGTCATCAAGACCAATGACAAGGACAATTTTCCATATGTTTTTCACTTGGAGTTTTTTGGTTTTAGAGCTAACATTGAAGTTATTATTCCATTTTAACTTAATTTTTGTGAATGCTATAATCCAGGGGTCCAATTTCATTTTTCTGTCCATGGTTATATGGTGTTTCAAGCACTGTTTATTGAAAAGACTAATCTTTTTCTCATCGAGTATTCTTGGTGACCTTGTCAAATATTAGTTGACTGTATATACTAGAGTTTATTTCTGGAAGTTCAATTCTGTTCAGGAAACCAGCTGCAAAATAAGAAAAGGTATAGTTTTAGTACATGGAAGACAGTGGTAGGAATCTGTGTGTGTGGGGACGACTTTTCCTGAAAGTCCCCCTTCCGCCATGGATGAAAGTACACACTACCAAGACACGATCTGCTTGAGGAGGAGAGGTGGCCAACCCCTCAAAAGGGAAGGGCCTTGAGCCCCTTCCTCCAGGAGCTTTTATTGGGTTATAATACACAGGAATAGAGGGTGGCAAGGATCAAACAGTAGATAACATTTCAAAGAAATCTGAGGGGTTAGTCTGAGTCAGTCTGTCAGGAAGGGAGTTTTGCAGAAATTTTAGGGTTTCCTGCTCGGACACTTAACAAATAAATGAAAACACTCTTAGCAGAGCAGGTTTCACAGGTTTATCAGGACGTCTTTGTGATGCCAGATTTTTACCTGTCCCCCACCCACCCAGGGATCCACTCTAGCAAGGCAAGGAGCTGCACCCCTCCCCATCAGGTATTCAGGCTTCAGTGGATTAGAGCCAGGAAGTGCTTCTCCCAGATGGAAATGGGGACTCGGGCTTTGTCACATAGCCAGGTAGCCGGGTGCGCAAGAGTCCATTGCTCACTCTTTGTTGCAGCCCCCCAAGTCCTTCCATGATGGAGTCCCAAGTGGTTGAGTTTTGCTTAGGTTGCCCCCTGCTGTCAGGGGTCTTACCCATCATTGACTTCTAACCATGCTTTGGGGGCAGGGAGAGGAAACTGAGGCAGCATTTGCTAGCAGAGACAAGCTTTGTCTCCTGTGGCTCGCATTCTGGAGGTTGCTTGCTCATCCTTAGCCACGGGGAGTAAAGTTACAATTCCTGAAACCAAGCAGAGTGGTCCCCAACATGTGTGAAGTTTATCCCATGGCCCATGGGCAGGCTTCCTGACACTGTCCAGAATGCAGTCAGTCAGAACCCTGTCTCTTTCATGCTGCTTCCTTCCGTCTGCTGGGCATCTTATATGGTGCTTTCTTAATCTGTTACCTTTCCCTACTCATTGAGCTCCCAACTTAATCCTCTGATGTTGCAAGAGAAAAATGAGAGAGCTGAGCTGTCCATGTGATATTTAGGTTGCCTAATGTAACTATGTTTTTGTCTGTTTCCCCCTTTCATTCTGTTGGTTGGTTTACATATTTGGGTGCTCCCTAATGGTGTACATATATATTGAGAAGTGTTATGTCTTCTTGATCTAGTGTCCCCTTAATCATCATGAAATGTCTGTCTTTGTCTCTTGTTACCTTTTTATCTTGAAATCTATTTTGTAGCCATGTGGATGGCTACACCTACATTTCCGTGGGTGCCATTTGCTTGGAGAATCATTTTCCATCCTTTAGCTTTGAGTCTGTATTTGTCTTGGCAGCTCAGATGTATTTCATGAAACAGCATATGGTTGGGTTTTGTTTGTTTGATCCAATCTTTTACTCTGTGACTTTTCATTGGTGACTTTAGTCTACTTACATTTAGGGTGGTTGACATATATGACAATTTCCTATAACCATTTTATCTTTGCTTTCTCATAGCTGTATGACTCCATTAAAAAAACCATTTTACTTATTTATTTTTAGAGAGAGAGGAAGGGAGGGAAAAAGAGAGCAAAAGAAACATCAATGTGTGTTTGCCTCTTGAATGCCCCCCACTAGGGACCAGGCCCACAACCCAGGCATGTGCCCTGACTGGAGATTGAACCGGAGACCCTTTGGTTTGTGGGCTGGTGCTCAATCCACTGAGCCACACCAGCCAGGGCTCAATAGTTTTTCATCCTTTGTGTTTCTGTCTGATGTTTTAATTTGCTGGTGTTATATATTTTTTACTCTGTTTTCCCTTTTTATTTTAAAGTTACGTGTCTCAGTTTGGGTTTTTTTGTGTGTGTGTGTGTGTGGTTACTACTAGGTTAATGTAAAACTAACTTTCATACATATGTTAGTTATTTTCCTTCTGAATGCATCTGATCTCCATCTCCCTTTTCAAATTCAGCCTTTTACCCCCATTCTTTTTATGTTTTTGTTGTTCAGAATTATCCCTATTTATACTGTGTTCACTTCTCAATTGTAATAGTCACTGTCTTCTTTCTCTCTCCTTTTTAATGTTTTTACCTCATTTAACCTGTCTGTGATATTTAAGTGTATACTACCCTATTAGGAATAAGAGTTATTGGAAATCTTATTTGTAGTTTTGTGACCTTTTGTTCTTTATTTCAAGTAGAACACCCCCCTTGACTATTTCTTATAATGGAGGTCTTCTGGTGTTGTTAAATCCCCCCACCTTTTGAAAGTTTTATTTCTCCTTCACATCTAAAGGACAACTTTGCTGGCTTATTCTTCACTGGTCATTTCTGTCTTTTAGTACTTTGCCTATTTGATGTATTTTTTCTACTTTGTAGGGCTCCTGAGAAATCTGATGATAATCTAATAGAATTTCTTTGTAGGTTACTGCATTGTTTTTCTTGCTCTCTTGAGAATTCTCATTGTCAAGAATTTTTGGAAGTTTTAGTGCTATGTGCCTTGGAGAAGGCCTTTCAGTATTGAGGTAATTAAGTCTTGTTTGCTTCTTGGATTCCAGGATCTAGCTCTTTCCATAGGTCTGGGAAGTTTTCATCAACTATTTCTTTGAATAGATTCTCAGTTCCTTTCTCCATTTCTTCCTCTTCTGGTATGCCTATAAGTACTATATTGCTCTATCTGATGGAGTCAGATAGTTCCTATTGAGCTCTTTCACTTTTCTGCTCTGGTTCTGTTTTTCCATCCATGCCATTTCTAGATTTCTATCTTCAGTTTCACTCATTCTTTCCCTATGTGATCAGCTGTATTTCTTACACTAGCTTGTTCATTCTTGATGTCCTTTGTTGTTATTTAGCTCCAGAATTTCTATTTGGTTCTTTTTAAAAGTTTAAATGTCTTTGGTAAAGTATTTTGTTTATTAATTGTATTTGTTAGCTTATTAAACTGCCTATCTGTATTGTATCTCACTGGGCTTTCTTAGAACTGTAATCTTGAATTCCCTGTCATTTAAATTACATATTTCATGTCTTTAAGCTTATTTTCTGAAGACTAACATTTTTTTCTGAGCTACATTATTACCCTGGTTATTTATGGTATTTGATGAATTCCTTCCCTCTGTAGGCATGTATATAGGAATGGCCCTTCTCTACCAGATTGACAAGAAGGCTTTTTATTTTTTTAAAGATTTTATTTATTTTTAGAGAGAGGGGTAAGGAGGGAGAAAGAGAAGGAGAGAAACATCGAGGTAAGGGAAGAACATCGGTTGGTTGCCTCTTATATGTGCTCCAAATGGAGATCAAATGCACAACCTAGGTATGAGCCCTGACCAGGAATGGAACCTGCAACTTTTCACTTTGTGGGATTACACCCAACCACCGGAGCTACACCACTGAGGCTGTGTTTTTGTTGTTTTTCAGTAGGGGTCACTAAAACACAGGCTTTTGAGCTTTTTCTGCTCAGCTCTGTCCTTTCAGATCTCTGCAGGGACATGGAAGAAGCTGTTTGTACCCTGGTAAGGTAGGTATCTCCTCTGTGATCGGGTTGCCTGCATCTCAAGGCACTCAGTCCCTGGAGAATGTGGTGGGTGATCAGAGTGCACGTCCTTGAAATCCCAGCACTGTCACCTGCAGCTATATGCCGCGGGCAATGCACTACAACGGGTGGGTGTGGGGTGAGCTGGGAGAGGCTGGCTGGTGACTTATGGCTTTGTCCTCCCAGCCATGGACACTGGCAGACATTAGTGTCTTCCGCTCTGTATCTCTACCCACCCCTGGTGTGAGCTAAAGAGCACACATGTCATTTAGGAGAAAATGTTTCTGTGGTTTCAGTCCTCGTGTTTGCAGACAATGTACTCTGCAACCCGGCACACAGTGTTACAGTTTCTGGGGCCCACTACGACATCTGGGAGGGTGCAGAGAGGAGGCCAGGCTCCGCAGTGGCTGTGTGTTTCTTCCTGGTCCCGGCGGTAGTCAGACTGCGTGGCTGCACATCTGAGCTCTGTCTCTGCCCAGGTCCCTCTGTTCAATCGTGGAGCAGGCCGACCACATCTACTGGGATGCTCATTGTACCTGTCTGCCTCTCCCTCTCTCTCCTGGCTCCGCCCCCATTGACTTGCTGATGTGATCAGCTGGCCCCTGTGATGTCACAGAGGGGATCGCTACTTGTCTCCAGTCACCCAGTGCACATGGCAGGGCTGAGGGCACAGGCAGGCGGCCTGGCAGAAGCCATTGCTCCTGTCACAGGGCTGCAGCGTGTATGGGCAGCGCAGCCTTAGTGGCTCAGGGTCTGAGCGGCAGACCCAGCAATGGAGGAGGCAGACATGGAGGAGCCAGGGACCAGCGAGACACAGGTAAGCAGTAGCCCCTCAGGTCCAGCCGAGTCCCCAACTCTCCCTTCCTCCCCCCTTCCCTCACCATCCCTGTCCCCTGACACCCCACAGCTTGGCTCCAACCTTCTTACCCACTGACCTGAGGGTTGGCTACCCCTTTAACCCTGGCCCCCCTAAGCAACGCCCACCCTAACCCATGGTCCCTCCCGACCCATGGTTCCCCTCTTGTCCCTATCAGGATGCCCAGACACAGCCCGTTTCCGTGGACTCGTCCAGGGCCCTCAAGAGACTGCACAAGGAACTGATGGACATCACTAAGGACCCTCCTCCCATGTGCTCTGCGGCACCGGTGGAGAATGACATGTTCACATGGAGGGGGGTCATTGTGGGCCCCGACAATAGCCCTTATGAGGGAGGGGTCTTCTCCCTAAACATATACTTCTCACGAGATTACCCCTTTCAGCCTCCATATATTTACTTCACCACCCGGGTATACCATCCCAATATCGACAGAAGAGGGAATATCTGTCTAGATATTCTCAAGTCCCAGTGGTCGCCTGCCCTTACTATATCTGAATTGTTGTTATCCATTAGCTCAATGTTATGTGACCCCAACCCTAATGATCCCTTAGATCCATCAATTGCAAGAATGTATTTAACAGATAGGGATACATATAATGCCATTGCTCGGGCTTGGACCAAGAAGTATGCAAAGTGAGTGAAAAGTAAATGATAAACCACCACCTTAATAAAACCCATGGCTGTTGAATGGGCTGTCTTTTTACTGCTTTCTGGGAGGCATCATTTCCCCATCTTCCTGGGCACCGGGTGAACACCTGCCACATCAGGGTGTGTGGAAGGGGTGGGGGAAGCAAAGGGGTGGGGCCAGGTTGGGGGATGGGGAGGGATGGAGGTTGGACATCTGCCTCAAGAGGGTGTGTGGAGGGAGTAGAGGGAGGCATGGGGATGGGGCAAGGTCCTGGGATGGATGAGTGGGAGAGAGGCCAGTTTTCATGGGCATTTTGCTGAAAGCCTTCTTTCCTGCTTCAGGTTGGGAAAGCAAGAACAAGGGGGGGGGCTTAGGATGGGACCTTTAGAACTGACAATGGGGAGGAAAAACTGGATGGAGATGTTCACTGTACTTGTCTGCCTCTCCCTGCTGGAAGGAGTGGCAGTCGCAACCTCATTTCTCTCCTCTCTGGGCTGAGCCTCACAGTGAGTTCAGGGCTGCATCCCCCACACAGTCTCAGCTCTCCTCTCTTCCCATCTCTGCAGCTGGCTCCCACTGACCAATCACTTCAGAAGTTCCAATGCACAGACAGCTCTCTCAGACATGTTGGTACCTTCAGCAGGGAATCTTTTGCTGAACTACAAGCTGTTCAGATTGTAATTTCAACATAAGAGATCAAGGCACCCTCTCCTACCACCCTTCCTCTGAAGTCATTCCTTTTAATTTGTCTTTGAAAATTCTATTCTTTGTCCTGATGCTGCCACCTGAGTAGAGTTGATCACCTATTCTATGAAAGTTGTATTAGAGTATCCTTCAGATTTTATTATATTTATTTGTGCAAATATCTCTTTCTTTGAATGGGGAGTTTTTCCAGGGCAAGCTTTTTATCTTATTTCTGACTCTACAATAGTTAATACAATGCTTACCACAGAGAAAAAAGAAATAGTATTTGATTAAATAAATGACAATGAAACACAAGATATACTGAGCATCAATTAAAAATAATTTTATCCTCATAATTTTAATATGAAAATGATCTGTTACTTAAATATGAATTTGCCTTTTCATGATTGGCTAAGAGAAAGACTAATGTGAAATACACCACAGGATGTCTCATTCTTTGGAGCAATTAATGTGTAGTTGAAATGGTACAGAAGTAAGTACAAGAGGAATTTTTTTAATTTGTCACTTTGCCTGCAATGTTTTTCCCCAAGTTATATCTTCTTTATTTCAGAAATCCTCAAATATCTCTTCATCAAAGAGGTCTTCCCTGAGAGCTTTAGCTAAATGATTACACAACCCAAAATCTGCCTCAATTTCTGTATCCTATTTCATTATCGTCATGACATCAATAATCATGTATCATGGCACATATTTATTTTCTATTTGCTGACATTTGAATATAAGCCAAGTGAGGGCAGGACATTCTATCTATTTTTTTCATTATGTATCTTCATTCTCTGAAACATTGTTTTGGCAAATAGAGGGTACTCATAAAACTTTTTTTGTCAAAGACAGGAGAATATACACCAAAGAACTAACAGTAATTTTGTGTAGGAAACTTTTTTTCTTATGTTCTCTAATAATGTAGTCTGCGTGTCATTTTATTTTTTTAGGGTAAACTTTTGTGATTAAATCTTAATGTAAGTCAAAGTAATTTGATAAAAAGAGATAGAATAATATGATCTAAATTATTTAAAGAATCTGAGATTGTGTTATGAATTTTTAAGTTAATTTCAGAAAATTATGCTTGATCTACTAATTTAGAAATTTAAAATATTAAAAATTTACTTTAATGTCTCAAATTACCAGTGCACAACAAAGAATAAAGCCTGAGCTGATGTGTATTTTGAGGTTCTTTCCAAATTTTCTAATATCCTAAGTAGTATGGAGCAAGCATAATTGGCCAAGATGAATAAAACAGGGTGAAATGGAAAAATAATTAAAAAGTGAAAATAAACATTTTATCAAAATAATTAGGCATACATAAACAGTTCTGAAAATGCTTTATGTTGTGCCAATGTGACTAAATGCATATAATAGAGTGATAGAAGAAGCCAACTCTACCAATTCCTCTTCTAAAACCCTTCATCCAGCTCTCTGTATTTTTTGAGACATTTCAATTTATCAGTACAAACTATCTCCTTGATATTTTCACTTGAATAACCTGCAGTCTCCTCACATTGAAAATGGACAATATTGAGCTTTTAACTTTTTAAATTCTGAGCATAATTTTCTTATAATATATATTGTTGATTCTTCACATTTCTACCATCTTCATGAACATTTTCACAGGTATCATATTCTGTAGTTCTTTTTTTTAAATTTTTTTTATTGATTATGCTGTTACAGTTGTTCTATTCCCCCCTTCATTCCCCTTCACCCTACCCCCCATCACCACCATTATCCCCCCTTTAGTTTATGACCATGTGTCTCAATTCCTTTAGATTCTATATTTCCCATGCTATTCTTGCCCCCCCATCTATTTTCTATCTACTATCTATGCTACTTATTTTCTGTACCTTCTCCCCCCTTCTCCTCCTCTCACTCCCCTGTTGCTAACCCTCCTTGAGATCTTCATTTCTATGTTTCCACTCCTGATCTAGCTGTCCTCTTAGTATGCTTTTGTTTTAGGTGTGGTTGTTAATAACTGTGAGTTTGTTTTCCTTTCACTGTTCATGTTTCTTTAACTTCTTTTTCTTAGATAAGTCCCTTTAACATTTCATATAATAAGGGCTTGGTGATGATGAACTCCTTGAATTTGATCTTCTCTGAGAAGCACCTTATCTGTCCTTCCATTCTAAATGAAAGTTTTGCTGGATAGAGCAATCTTGGTTGTAGGTCTTTGGATTTCATGACTTGGAATACCTCTTTCCAGCCCCTTCTTGCCTGGAAGGTCTCTTTTGAGAAATCCGCTGACAGTCTGATGGGGACTCCTTTGTAGGTGACTGTCCCCTTATCTCTTGCTGCTTCTAGGATTCTCTCCTTCATTTTAATTTTGGCTAATGTAATGATGATGTGCCTTGGTGTGTTCCTTCTTGGGTCCAACTTCTTTGGGACTCTCTGAGCTTCCTGGATTTCTTGGAAGTCTATTTCCTTTGCCAGATTGGGAAAATTCTCCTTTATTATTTGTTCAAATAAGTTTTCCACTGGTGGCTGTGCCTTTCCCCCTTCTGGTACCCCTATAATTTGGATGTTGGAGCGTTTAAAGATGTCCTGGAGGTTCCTAAGACTCTCCTCATTTCTTTGAATTCTTGATTCTTGACTCTTTTCTGTTTGGCCATTATTTGCTTTCTTCTGGTCCACTCCATTGATTTGAGTCCCAGTTTCCTTTTCATTGCTATTGGTGTCCTGTGCAATTCCATTCATTTCAATTAGTTTCGCCTTCATATATTTGTCTAACTTGTGGGTATAATCAACCAGTTCTGTGAGGATCCTGATGACCAGTGTTTTAAACTGTGCATCTGAGAGTTTTGCTATTTCTTCATAGCTTAGATCTATGGGCTCTGGGGCTTTGAGATCTTGCGACATTTTTGGTCTGTTCGGGCCCTTTAAGTGTGAGAAGCCGCGCCTTGGACTCCCAGGTCGCTGGGTTGTGATGCTGTATGTGGGGGCGTGGTCAGAGAGGGGAAATGGCGACCCCCTATGCTGTTTCTCACAGCTGGGTGAGGATTAGTGTCTTAGGTGGTTCACCTGGGCCGGGCCATTCAGAGTTGCTGGGTTATGACGCTGTATGTGGAGGTGGGGTCAGAGCGGGGAAATGGCAGTGCCCTCCACTGCCGCGTGCCGCGGGGACCCGCTGGGCCCCGGTCCAACCGCCCACTCCCTCGCCTGTCCGCCCATGCACAAATGCGCAACCACAGTCAACACGCAGCACCACTCCCCTGCTGTCTCCCCCGAGGTCGCTCGCCTGATGGCTTGCTCGGTCGCTCGCCTGATGGCTCGCTCGGTCGCTCGCCTGATGGCTCGCTCGGTCGCTTGCTAGGTCCAACCATGCGCCTGGATTCCGCGCCTGGATTCCGCTCCTGAGTCCGGCTGACCGAGACCCCCTGTGCAATCCTGCTTCACTAGCCGCTGGTTTTTCCCCTTACCGGTCAGGCTGAAGAATTTGTTGTTAACAGACTTCCGAAAAGTTCAATTTTCCATGTTCTGGCTGTGTTTTCTGTTGCTAATATTTAGTTGTCTCTAAACTTGGTTGTGTGAGAAGGCACGGCACATCCACCTACGCCTCTATCTTGGCGGAACTCACCTGTAGTTCTTATTACAAATTAAACAATAATTGCACATCAATAATTGAGATGAAGAAACCATAGTTGAGAAAGGTTTATTTATTCATTCTATCACTACTTGCAGGATAAATGTTGTGCAAAGCAAAGTACCAAGTGCTAGGCATCCATCAATGAGTAAAACCACATGTGGTATTTGATCCCATTTAAAATTCATTCTAGTAGAAAAGACAATCATTAACCAAATACTTTTACTGATGTTAAAATTCCATCTATAAAATTCACTAAAATAGAGAACTGTTTGAGTTCCTCTATTATAGGTTCTCACTGAAATAACAGGTCAGGATAAGTTTGACTGAGTTAAATGAGAAGAATGAGCAAGATTACCTAAGCAATGAAAGAAGGAAAAAACACACCAAGTAAAGCGTATAGCACATTTAAATGCAGAAAAGAGCATGAAAATAAAGATAACTGAAAAACATTTGTTACATTGTGATGTTCCTAAGACAATGATGTTTTAAAGAAAGGAGTATAAAGGGGCCTAAATAGAAGTAAAGTTTCATAATTCACTCAAAGTGCTAAATTTTGATACTAAGAGATAAAGTAACATCAGAGTATGTATAGTAGTATCAAGGTAGACCAGTAGAAAAGTTATACAAAGTGACATAGTCAAAAATACTACAAATAAATCAAGAGAAAATCTTCAAAAATGTTCAAGTAACCCACAAGGAAGGCTAGAATAGACAAATAGAAAAAATATAA